TAATCTGCCAGTTTATAGTAGTTATCTAAATCTTCCCGACGGGGTTGATTTCTTGCTCAGGGGAAGTTGGGCCTCTGGCCCTCTCCCTATGTCCCTGCGGGCAGGGATGTATCATTCCTTTGTAAGCCGAGTGGTACTCGGAGCAGCAAGGGTGGCTAACTTTGCTAGTCATTTCCTTGTCGGTGACGGCCGGAGGGTGTCTGAGTGTTAACGTCTTTGGACGTAGAGGAGAGGTCGTTCCATAACTCATTTAAGTCGGTGTGTTTCCCACATAGTGTGCTTTCCGTTAACTTTCGCAGTTGTTTCCTTGACGGTTTGCTAGACTCGGGTATGCATCGACGAGGACGTCGATCTTCCCTAAGGGGGGGAGAGTGTCGCGAATGTGACTTCGGGTATCGAAAGATACTTGTCGGCTAGTCCTTACGGACACTCTTTCCTTACTGCCATGACGGCAGGAGATCGGTACAGTTGGATCCCTTTAGTAGCCCCTCTTGTGCTAGTGGAGTTAACTGGGCATTTCGAGTGTACTTAGACCGGACGAGCATAAGGACGGAATTCCTACGTGCTATTAGCTAAGCATACTTAGCCCGGTAAGGAGTTCCCGTCTCGTTATGTCTTGCACTGGCTAGTGACAAGAACCCTCGCGTATTGAGATTAGTCCCTCAATAACGCCGGATGATAGCTTACCGTGTCTGCCAAACACCCTCGCTATCATGCCCTTTGTGTTAGTCTCATTTCGGTCCCAAATGCTATTTATGGAAAGTGTTTAGATTTGCTCATTTGGCATATCTACGGAATGTAGAGGTCGGCCTGAACACAATGGTGTTCGTCCCGTGTCCAAATTCGCAATCTAGCGCCATTCCATATTTAGTAAGTTTCGAGCTTGTCCCAGAGACTAACTCCTGGTACTAAGGGAGGCTTGGGGTGAAAGCCCAAAGCGTGTGTTCCTCAAGGGGGGGGGGGCTGTGGGGGGTTCCAAATGTATAGTAGGGATAGTGGTTGGAATGCATGTCCGACCACCTGAGACATTAGTTTGGCTCCCGCTGGGCTGTGTCGCTCCTTGTTCTGCGTCCGGCTTGGGTCTAAGCCCAAGCTCCACGCTGCTCTAGTCAGTGGAGTACCCTCCTCCTTGCGTTAGGCCACCGGTATGCCAAAATTGTGCCAGACTCCGTCTGACACCATTTTGCGTGCAGGTGCTGGATACGGGGAGCTGGTGCTCGTGGGCTTGCCCCGGACCCTCGTTTTGTAGCGCAACGGGCTTGGAGTTCGGCTCCAAATTCAGGTGCGTTACATCCCCCCCCCCCCCCCCCTCTCCTTGAGGAACACACGCTTTGGGCTTTCACCCCAAACCTCCTTTAGTATCAAAAGTTAGTCTCTGGGACAAGCTCGAAACTTATTAAATATGGAATGGCGCTAAATTGCGAATTTGGATATGGGATGAACACCATTGTGTTCAGACCAATTTCTACATTCCATAGATATGCCAAATGAGCAAATTTGAACACTTTCCATAAATAACATTTGGGACCGAAATGAAACTAACACAAAAGGCATGATAGTAAGGGTGTTTGGCAGACACAGTAAGCTATCATGTAGCGATATTGAGGGATTAATTTTAATACACAAGGGTTCTTATCATTAGCAAGTGCAAGACAAAACAAGATGGGAACTCCTTACCAGGTTAAATATGCTTAGCTAATAACACGTAGGAATTCTGTCCTTATGTTCGTCCAGTATAAATACACTCGAAATGCCCAATTAACTCCACTAACACAAAAAGGACTAATAAAGGGTCTAGCAATACTAACCTCCTGCCATCGTGGCAATAAGGTAAGAGTGTCTGTAAGGACTAGTTGATAAGTAACTTTCGATACCTGAAGTCACATTCGCGACATTAAACCTACCAAATGTCAATTGATATGTGGTGCGATTCCTTAGCTAATAAATAGAGTTAGACCTGAGACCCTTTTGATACTAAATGTAAGCTTTTGAGTTTGGACTTCTCGCATAACCTAATATTATTCAAACCTAAGGATGTTTATTTTAAAACCTTTAACCAATTAAAAAAGGGGGTGCACTCTTATTTATGGGTGCACAAACATAAATCATCTTTTTATATTTGAACCCCATAAATCATCTCTCGAATTTTTTTTTTTTATTGTTTATAAATTGCTCTGGCAAAGTGAAAGCATGATGTTGGTGCTATTTTAGACTTTAAAGTACCTCTATATTGTTATTGATTTCAAATATTACATCATCTAATTAATAAGGTTGTATTCAAGGAAGAGGCTAGAAGTCATCATGCAATTGATCAAGTTTTCATATGTGAACTAGTAATTTCATATTTGACTTTCTTCTGCTAATTAACCACTAGTCAATACTTTATGGTATAGTTATTTTCAATAGCTAAATCATATGGATGTTTTCTCCAAAAATCCATAAAAGCTTTAATACCAATAACAATCTCCTTATTATTAAGTTCAATTTTCACTAAAACAAAAGTTGTTGTGAAAAACTTTTAGGAAGAAGAGGGTTTCCATCTTGGTCATTTTTTAAGAGCTCAATATTTTTAATTGGAAACCATATTTTATCCCATCTTGTAATGCATAACTAAATTTTTATTCTATATTCTAAAATGAAATTATAATGTCTTTTGTTTTTTAGAAAGCCCTTCACAAATCCTTTGAAATCTGCAATTTATATTATGAAGTTGGGAAGTGTTTTTTGAGAGATGCATTCTTAAAAACGGTGTATGAGTTGTAAACCAACTTGCCTATTTAAGTGATTTCAAGATATGACTAAATAAAGCATCTATATCTTCATGAGTGTACCCAAGCTTAATATCATTATTTTGAATATACATTTTACCACCAATAAAGATAAATATACCATGATATATATATTTTTGTTATCAATTCCAGCATTATCCATTTAAAGAAGTAAGTGAAGTGGCAAATGTATGAAATTGAGTTCATTGGAAATTGATAGATAAGACTTGTTATCTACTAATGTTGTTTCATAGCAAACCACTTGCAATTGAGAAAACCACTAACTTTTTGATGAGTTTTCTCAAAACTGAAAACATAATCATTTGATATAAAAGCTTTTCCCTAGACTTCAAATAGAGAAGGATTCATTCAAAATATGTAGATGTTTTTGGCCTCTACAAGCACTTGGATAAGGATGAAATAGTAATAATTGATTTACAATAGAACAAAGAAGTGTCTGTAATTTTCTACTTAATATCCTTAGGTTTTAGAATAAATTCAATCAGTCCATCGTGTCATAAATGATGATAAGGTAGTTTTCTAGATGTTCAATCGGTATTACCCTGTTGCTATAATAAGCAGTGTGACAACTTTTTTAGTCCATATTATGCTATGTTCTTTGTATATGAAATTAAATTATTTCTTTTTTCATATATATATTTATTGAAAGTTTTATTTTGATTGCCATACACTCATCACATTTTGAGAAACTGAAATACTTCACAATATTGGACTGATTGGTTTCTTCTTTTGTTACTTTAATTAACTCTACATTAATTTCTATTTATATTGCTTCTTGGTATAGAAGTACACATTGTCCCATCAGCAAGCATTCTAGTTTTGTATAACAGCTTTTCACTACAGGTCTTTATAAACCTCCTAAACAATACTTTGTTTAGAATTACATGTTTGTATTTCTTATAACTTCCTTTGTTGCTATGAGTAGAGTCATTCCCCCATTCCACTTTTCTTCAAAAAAATGTTGCTCTTAAGATGCCATGGATAATGTACCAAACCTTCTTAGAAAATCTAAAAGTTGATTGAAAATTGGTGTAAAAAGATTCTTATAGACAAAGTTACATTTACGTTTCCAATCAAATGTTTGAACCATCTTATGCTTTTCTTGAAGCACAACCCAATTAACCTTGATAGCACTGTAATACATAACAATCTATAGTTAACACCATCCATCTACTGGGCCATTTCTTTTACTTTTTCAGGGCTTTCCTTATGAATGCATATTTCCTCTTGTCAAGATTGTAGGAGAGATAGTTGGTGCTAAAGGAAGATTGAGATCACACATCAGCTATAGATAAGAATTGACCTCATTTTCCATTGCACAGAATACGCTAGGAAGGCTTGGATTACAATGAGGATACCTGGGTGATGGATGAACAATTCTATGACCTTGGTGGGGAAGTCGCAACTCCAGAGGACCAAAGTTTTAAGGAGGGATGGCTTGTTAACGGCTTAATCTTCATGCCAATTATAAGGAGGGACAACGTGAGCTTAGGGCATGCTATTATCTTCTCTGTACTTCTTCCTTCTCCTCTCCATCCTTCATTCCATTCCTTGCTTATCTGGCTATCTATTTCTTCTAATCTCTTCCTCCCTATTGGGATTGGGGTTATATTATCCCTCATGGTAGCCAAAGTTCTAAAGCTTTAAAAGGAGTCAACTTCAATACTCATGACTTTTGTGATTGTTTGTTTAAGAACTCATCTCATATGATCATTTCATATTTAGATAAGGGCTTAATTAAGGCATAGCACTTAGCTCGAATTTGAATAATTAATGTAAGGTCTATTTGAATTATAAGAGAATATTTAAAGATTCTTTATATTTAATCTTATTGGTAATGTTAAAATTTAAAATGGCTTATGATTAATTAAAAATTTTAGATACTCTAAAATTAATATAAAGGTAAATTTCAAATTAGCCTTTAACAGGCTAACCAAGATCTATAAACTAAACCCCTTATATAAATATGCAGTTTTACTTATTACTAAGGGTTTATAATGAAAAGCTTTTGACCCAAAGTGGTACGTTTTCCAGGTAAATTTTATTAATAATCTAGTAGAAAAACAACCAGCTGGCACGAGGTACTGCTTCACTAAATGAAAGCCAAACTAAGAACATGGGCAAATGCTTCATTCATGGATCGGTCCAGGCTTGACTTAAGTGCAATTCCAAAAGGCTGCACACTATACTTCCCAGAGAACAGCCAGAGTATCCACTAAGGATAGCTTCATATCTTGAGTTACGTATTGAATTCACACGTACACTCTTCACTTGGAGGTACTCTAGTTCGGCTCTCCCAAAACAAATGACTCATCCAACTTCCCAAGGGATTACTCCGGCAAATGACGATGGTCGATCCACCTTAGGAACCATGTAGAAGTAGAATCTCCTGGTGTTGGCAAGCTTCCATTAGAAGCCCTGGTTCCAAGAGGGTATGACGGATCGTCTCCCTATAGTTTTGCAGCCGGCAACTTGCCGAAGGACAGGAGCCCGAGTCTTTAATAGAAGACGGAAGTTAAAAACCAACGTGAATCTTTACTTCACAAAGGAAAGCCTGTAAAAACCAGCAAAAACATCATAGAGAAGGCAAGGCCTGCACAAAACTAGAGCAGCAAAAGAATCTGGATAAACGGATTAGCTTCGTAGAAAAGAAAAACGGAGACGCAGAAAGAGCAAAGAGAAATATAGAGAGTTAAAAGAGAAACAATCGCGCGAGCGTTAGTAAGAAGATCGATAAGCACCACTTTTCTGTTTGGAAGGAAAATCAACGTCTTGGTCACGCTGGAGTTTTATCTCAAGTGCACTGCCAGAGATCGACACTCCATTCATGGCAGTCATGGCTGCCTCGGCAGACCGTCTCGTGTCCATTGTCACAGTTCCTGAGGTAAACCGGAGATTTGCAAACAAACGAGAAATAAGAAATCTGATGCGATCAATCGGTACTGTAGAAGTAAATAACGAGGACGAACTGCAAGCACTTGGCAGGAAATTGTTTCAAGGAGAGAGGCTTCTTCCAAGTCAGGGAAAAAGGGAAAAGCTCGTTGGTTTTGGCCAAGCTCGGATAGAGGTAAGCGTCTCGGATCATTTCTAGCTAGAGCGAAGCGAACGACGGACACGAAAGTGGCTATAGAAGAACACTGAAAGTCGAGAAGCTGGAAGCTCGCATGAATGAAGGACAGAGAAAAAAAGAAACTACAGAACAGAAAAAAATGGCTTGGCTTACCACACGGCTGGCCCGCAGCCATTTCTTTGGCGGTAGCGACTTTGGCATATAAAACACTCCCGTAAGGCTTGAATAGGTCCACCAAGTCCGAGTCCCGGTAGTCGGCAGAGATCCCATACACAGACAACGTCGCACCTGGAAAAAGAAGAAAAAACACGAAAAGGATGAGAAGTAGCTAGATCCTCACAGAAAGCACTCACCTTGTGGCCTAGAGGGGCTGTTAGCAGCTGAGGGAGATTGCCGTGAAGAAACACCGTCGGGCTTGAGTGAAGGGTTAACGACTCCTGAAAATGGTTGAAGTCGATGCTTAGAGAGAATCAAAAACAAGAAAAGACGCACCTGAGGATCGCGCCAGGAATGACAACGGGTTTTGGCTTGTAGATGGCTGACTTGTACCGGGTAAGTTGGTCGAGGTCCCTGGTCCTGGAGCTCCTGTGATCTGGGAGGATGGCTGAGGAGCGTAGAGCAGCTGCTGTGGGAATTGCTGGAGGCCCGGAGTGGCGGAGTGACCACTCAACTGATACGCGGCGGCGGCGGCGGCTGCGGCAGCAGCTTGATGCTGCTGGATGAGAACTTGGTGCATGGTTTGCTGAAGCGCGGCTTGTGGATTGGAATGAAGCTCCTGCCCGGCCTGGCTTGCGGCGAGCGAGGCCGGCTTCTCCCACTGCGTTACACCCGTGACTGTGTTGTAGTAGAAGAGAGAGCCATTTGGAGCGTAGTGTGTCGTCCATGTCTCCACAGGAGCGCTGGAAGGAGTGGCGGCCACACTCCCATTGGCGACGTATGAAGCGCTGGAAGAAGCCACTGGATAATTCACTGATGCTGCCACTGCGCGAAGCTTCTCCACCTCCTTGGAGAGCTGTTCTTGATGATCCTTGCCACTAGCAGAAGTAGAAACTCCACCACCACCGCCACCACCACCGCCACCACCACCGCCAGCACTGCCACTGCTTGGCTCGTAAGTAGCTTTGAGCCTCTGGAGCTCCTGGCGGAGCGTGTCATTCTCGGCCCTCATCACGGCCATTTGCTGGGCATCCGATCGAGCGCGATGCAAATCCTGTGTCATCTGCTGTGCCTGGAGGAGGAGCTCTTGGCGATGCGAATTCACCGTCTTGATTTCGCTCCTCGCCTGCTCCAGCTCCCTCTCCAATGCCGACATCTTGGCGTCGTTCTGGGAGATAATCTGGCGGAGCTGCGCCACATCCTGCCTCAGCGCGACGTGCGTCGCCGCGAATCGCTGGTTCTCGGTCAGCAGGCGCTGGATTTCCAGGTGCTGGGCCGCAAGCTTCTGCTCGATGATCGGCGGAGGCGGCACGACCATGGAGCCCCTGCCGTGAGGCCGCAAGATTGCGACTCCTTGCTGAGGGACTCGCATCCTGCCCCGACCTGCCATTGTATCAATCGGCGAGGCGGCGGACTCACCTCTTGCGGCTCCCTCACGAAGAACCCTAGAAATTTACTTGTTACTCGCAGGAATCGAACCAAGACCACCCACTTTGCACTTGCCCTAGTGCTGTGCTAAGGAGAATCGAGCCTTGGACCTCATATTCCGTACTAAACACCGTCATCGTACGCTCTTCATTGCTGATGAAACGTAACATCGCGAGGGAAGTTTTCGTCCGCGATCCATTCGCGCATCGATCGATCTCTCTACTAGTCAAATGCGAGTGTGCTGCGAGGTCGCCATCTCTCCGGGAAGGGAATTCTACAAAGCGCGGCCAGGTATTGCAGGTCGATCAAGAGCTTTGGATTCCAGCTCTTGAGCTCTCAGATTCCGGGGGCTAGATCGGTGGATCGAGCATGGTAAACAACTATGCGAGCTACACAGCGATTGCGATCCTGGGGATTATAGGGATTGGATACCTCATCCTCAATGGCAATATCCGGCTGCCCATCAAGCTCCCGGAGATGGGGTTTGTGCGAAGGGATGGCACGCAGTTCTTTGTGGATGGCCGGCCTTTCTACATCAATGGCTGGAATTCCTACTGGATGATGAGCGAGGCGGTGGAGTGGCTCAGCCGGTCCAATGTGAGATCCATCCTCGACGATGGAGCCGGCATGGGGCTCAACCTTGTGAGAACTTGGGCTTTCAACGATGCTGGCTACCATGCATTGCAAAGATCTCCTGGCCACTACGACGAGGACGTTTTCAAGGTACTATAGGTAGTGCTGCTCTTTAGAAGTTTCTTTTTCTCTTTTTTCTACCTAGAAAAGTGTTTTAAGTAGCTCCTGAGATTTTCTTCTTCTTCTTATAGCTTTTCTTCTTCTTCTTAGGATGGATTTTTCGTCATAGAAGTGTTTCTTTGCATTTCAAGATAAGTGTTCTAAGTTGATCTTTTCTTCCTCTTCTTGTTCTTAGGATGGATGCTTCGTTTTGGTTTTTTTTCATAGCACTTTCTTTCTTCTCCTTCTTAGGATGGATTTTCGTCATAGAAGTGTTTCTTTTCATTTCAAGAGAATTGTCCTACTGAACACTTCTTCTTCTCCCTCTTAGGATCGTTTTTGGTTTTTCTACATTGAAAACTTTTTTCTTTTTTCTTTTGAAGAGAAGTGTTCTAAGTCTTCTTTGTCTTGTGGCAGGCTCTGGATTATGTAATCGTTGAAGCCCGTCGTCGCAACATCAGGTTGTTGCTAAGCCTGACAAATAATCTGGAAGCATTCGGTGGCAAAGGACAGTACGTTTACTGGGCTCGTCAAGCCAGTGCCGACGTCGGCTATAGCAACGACACTTTCTTCTCCGATCCAACCATCAAAGACTACTACAAATCTCACGTCAAGGTAGATCAATGCAGCCAGTCGTTTCGTTGAGATCTTGTTGTTTTTCCTTGTGGCAGAAAATACTAACAAGAGTGAACAGCATTACCGGGGTGGCCTACAAAGACGAGCCAGCCATCTTCGCATGGGAGCTCATGAACGAACCACGCTGCATCATTGATCCCTCGGGAAACACACTACAGGTTCTTTACTTTTGCAAAGTTTCACTTAAAATACTAGAGTTTTGGACGCAGACTTGGATCGAAGAAATGTCCGTGTACGTCAAGTCCCTGGACAGCAAGCACCTGCTAACTGTTGGACTGGAAGGATTCTACAATAGTTGGAGTCCCGACAGCTTAGTAGCCAATCCAGGACACTGGGCGGATTTCCTTGGCTCGGATTTCATACGCAACCACCTTCTCTCGACTATAGATTTCGCTTCGATTCATGCATATCCGGATATATGGTGAGACTGTCTCTCTTTTTCTTTGATCAGAGTTTCACGTAGCCTGCTTTTTTCAGGATGCCCGAGGTGAGCTTCGAGGAACAGCTCAAAGGCTTCTCTAAATGGGTTGATACGCACGTCCAAGACGGTGCTTTGAGATTGCAAAAGCCGGTGCTGGTCACAGAATTTGGGCTCAAAACGAAATCTAGCACGAGACACCGGCTTGAGCTCTTAAAGGCAATGTATGACGCGGCCTTCGACTCGGCACGAAACGGAGAAGCGTGTGCCGGGGCAATGCTCTGGCAACTCCTGGAAGAGGGCCTTGACGAGTATGGGGATGACTACGCGATTGTGCCGCGAGACGAGCCTCAAGTCACGGAACTCGTTGGAGCTCATTCCTGCCGGCTTGAAAAGCTTTTTCACTCGAACTTCACAGCAGCAGTGACTCACAGGAAGAACAAACAGGTTTCTACGTGCAAGCCATTACTGGTTTGAAGTTCGGGGAGGGCGTAGCTGTACAGAGATTCGGTCTGCTTCAAGTTTTGTTGGTATTGGCGACGGGTATACAGTTTTTTGCTTATTTGATATTGGCGAGAAGATCATTCTCAGCTGTGTTACTAATAATGTTTCATGCACAGGCTTACGCATGTGTCGAAACACAAGAAACTATGATTTACTTGTAGCGAATGTTTATCCTGTGAATCGAAGAACACCACCGGGAGGTGGCCTTTGAGCTACATCTTTCATGGGTTGAAGATCAGGTGACGAGTCCACAGCATCTAAGTCGAAGGTGGCGATGGCATGGAAAGTCTCCCTCGAGGCTTTCTCGAACGATCCATACCTGGCCAACGTCGCTTGAGCTCCTGGAGATATCGAGATCTCTTCTAGACTCTGAGGAGAGTGTAGAAACTTGGAGGTACTCGAATTCAAGTTCTTCTTCTTCCTCCTCCTTATGACTGATCGTACAGGCCGCTGGAAGCCTTCGTCCTCGGTGGAGATTGCGTCGTCAAACATATCGTCAGCCTTGTTCTTGGCGCTCTTCTCTCGCGGCTCGTTGTTATCGTCGCTCGAGTAGTCCTCGATGAGAAACCTCACTCTCTTGGACAACTTCCGATCGGCCACCACGCCACTCTTTTTCAACGCTGGCTTGGAGAAGACGAAGGCCGCCGAGACTGGAAACGTCGCAAACTTTCCATCGTCGACAGCATGAACTTCGTCGGCCGGTTGCTTCATCTCGGCCTCAGCCATCTCTAGAGCTTCGACTTCGTCGTAGAAACACCGGCTTTGGTGATCAAACTCGGAGCTCCCGCCGCCGCAGTCGACGTCGTCGTCGTATGATCTCTCCTTGAAGCTCTCAAACTCGCCTCCTAAGACATGATCACTGCTGGAGAAATCTTGGTGGTGCTGCTCGCGATAATTCTCCAGCGAAGAACCACGACAAGTGTCATGGTCGACGAGCTTGTGCTGCAGCTTCCAGCATCCCAGCATGTTCTTGAAGAAACCACAGCCCGTGGACGACGAGGACGACTCTCTCAAAGACCGGTCCCAGATCTCTAGACTCAGCTGCTTCTTAAATCTTCCACTGCTCAGCGGAGACTCCACGGCGTGATGCTCCAGGAAGTTAGCCCTCGAGGACGCTGCTGAGGACGACGAACACCTTTTACTCGGTGACGACGAGCTATACGACTCTGGACTGGCTCCAAAGACGCTGGCATCGAGTATACTCACTGGAGAAGATCTCATCTCTCCGGCGGAGTTTGAGTCCTTGGAGAGTGAGATTGGCGATCGAAGTGGTGAAGCTAGACGCAGCTGGAGGATGTTTTTGATCCTCTCCGCGAGCCGAGGAGACAGTCCTTGCTGCTGCTGAGTTCTTCCGATCGAAAGGCAAGGAGGTGGCTGGAGAAACGACAGTGGAGAGCTCCCGGGAGAGCTCGAGTAGCTCAGCGAAGACGGCGACTTCGGCTTACCGGGTTGTTCTTCCCATTTGAAAGGTACCGAGCCAGGAGCTTTGAAGTTTTGATTCTCACCAAAGCTACTCGCCTCCTGCAGCTGTGAAGGACTTGCATTCCCGAGGAGAACTCTCGCTGCCTCGCTGCAGCGCCTGGCTGAATTGTTGCTGCTGGCTGAGAAGATGATCCGCTGCTGCGCTGAGAGATTGGCGAACAAAGGTACCTTGAACATTTCTTCTCCATCTTTGCTTCGAAGTGGTGATGGAGCTCTCTCTTCTTCCAGAGCTCCGTCTAGAACTAACATCTTTCTGGATCACAGGCGGCAGGCTCGCTCGCATTTTCCTCCTGTTACGTCTAGACTTTTGCATCCACTCTCTCCATTTTTCCTTGCCATCCCTTGGAAATCCTCAAAGCGAAAAGAATAACTTGTTCTTGGCACGATGTCCGGACTATATTTCGTGCAACGTGATGAAACTATTCATACCTGGCATGTCCAAAAATTTCCGGTGCTGGTGCTGGTGGTGGTTGTCGCCTCTTTCGCTGACGATATATGTCTTCTGTACCTTTTTTTTCTTTTCCTTCTATGCGGACATTCTTTGGGTTTTTCTATCAGGAACATTCTTCCCACTGTAGTTGACACACGGAAAAAACCATTTTAATGGAAAACTTTGCCTTTTATGCGAAACTTGGTTCCTATTGGTTTGAAAGAAGTGATCACACGTTTAAGATGGCAACTAAGGTTTTGAGATTGCAAACATTTAACAGGAAAGAGAGTTTGATGCGAAGCTCACCTTGTAGCAATGACTACTTCTTCTGTTTGAGCGGCTTGAAGCTGTATTTCTTGCGAGAGACCTTGCGAGGCCTCGTGAACGCCTCCGGCTCCGGACAAGACGGCTCCACTTTACTCCGTAGCAAATAGAGTTCGTTCTGCGAGTATGGAACTCGATGGTATCCATTCTTCTCGCTCGCCTTCATGGTAGCCTTCAAGAGATCGAGAACATTGCGGGTGGTGGCCGGGATTTTCAGCTGCGCGAGGAAATCACTCCAGCTCTCCACTGCCGCAGCGTCTCTCGCGAGCTTGAGGAGCTTGGTGCTCACATCCTCTGCCGGGAAGCCATACCTTCGATCCAGCTCCACGGGGTCAACGGTCTTGGCCAGATGAACAAAGTTGACCTGGAAGACCAGGGCTTTGAGGGTGGCGGAGCACACCTGGAACGTTTGCTGGAGTCGTATCTCCGAGTTATAGTCGCTTGGCTCCACATACGCGAGGTGTGGATGTTTCTTTAGATATGCGAGTGCGTTCCTCGTGAGGATCTCCTTGAGGACGAGGCCACCGAGCTTGCTACAATCCACCTCCGGATCCACCAGCGCATACATGAGGAAGGCTCCCAGGTTTGGATTCGAATCTCTTGCTCGGGACTTGATATCTTTTGTAAATTGGTCGATCTTGGAGCGGATTTCGAGAGCCAGGGCCGGATCTTCCTTGGTTAGCTTCCATAAG